TCCCGCAAGTGAAAACTTGCTTCTAATAAACTTCTTATAGACACTAGAAAAAAGGATGGCTTAATGGAAACTGGGCTGACGTTTGTGGTCATCTAGGACAACTGTCTGACTTGAAAGAAATTCCTTTGTGTAGTTGGAAACCACTGAAGAACTAGCAAAGCTGTTGTCTCAATTCCATGATGCGCCAGGTTAGCTTCTTGCTCTGTTTAAGGAAATGCAAGGAATTTTTCACTACATCTTTCTCTCATACTTTGCATTTTGATTTTTGAGTAAAATGCAATACTTTTATTTAAAGCGAACCAAAAAAGTAGATGAGGCCTTTAATAAAAAAAAAAAAAGAGAGAGAGAGAAGGAAACATCCAAGTAAATTGTATATTGACGAGTTCCAAACGTTGACACACCTCAGATGGGAACATCTGTAGGTCCTCTGCAGCATGTGACACAAAATGCACTTGTAATGACACAGCTTGAGGTTGCCTTAAAACAGAAGCCGTTGGTGGTCAAGAAAGCTGTGTTGGTTTTTTTTTTTTTTTTTTTGTTTTTTTTTTTTTTTTTTTTTTTTTTTTTTTTTGGTGTGTGTACTGACTTTGCAAATAAGTAACCTCTTTGGAAGCCCATAGAAGAAGGCTGTGAATGTTGTGTATGCAGTATTTTCTAAAAACTTGTGTTCCTACGGAGAACTTCTAAGCACGTAAGCTTACTTTTTCAGTGGCTCTGGTTGTACAAGAAGGATATAGAGAGAGACTTTTTAGAAACTTAAAAAAAAATCAAAACATATCACTTGTCTAAAACTTAGTCCTATATTCATGGGTGTTGAAAGTATACTATGTGTAAATTATGGTACAGTAGTCACCTAGTCTCTCTGAGCCATTGGTACTTCAACTGCACTCTGAAACAACTTTATTCGATATCAGTAATTGTATATGTTGGTAGTATGGTATTGGTAAGCATGGGGATTTGGGGCAGTGGGGAGAGCAAAAACCCAACAAATGGCATTATCTGCGCCTTCTGTTAGATGCACCAGCTGCTTAGCTCCAATCTGCTGCAAGGGTGCGATAAGGTAAGTTTGTGCAACAAATGGAAGACTTGAACTGTTTTTTATAGTCAAAAGCTAATCGCATAGAATATAGTGTAGTTTAAGGATACCAGTTATCTCTAGAAATGAGCTGGCTTGGATATCGGAGGCAATCTAGCTGCAGCAAATAATTTAGTATGGTCTGCTCCCCTGCAGTTTCCAATGCAGATGTATCCCCAGAGTGCTACCACTGAACTCTTAAAGAGTCACCTGCTTGGAGGACGGTGGTATTCGTGACACTCAACCAAACCCTTCCTAATTGTTTTCTGAAAACATAGATGTTGGACTGGCCATACCCCCTTTTTTTTTTTTATTACATTCTCTGATTTTTATACTATGAAACTTGTTGCAAAACAAGTGTGGTCTGAGATAAGCAATGTTAGATCTGTAAGAGCTGCCAACACTTCGTTATGTTTTGTTCTTAACATATTCTGTAGTTACTACTTTTGAATCTTGTAACTGAAACACTTAAACATGGCATATGGTTTTAGTTTTCGAAAAGAGCTTTGTCCTATATCCTGCATATTTTCCATGCACTTACGAAACTTGCTTCGTCTTAAAAACTTGTTCTGATTCTGTCCTGACACTTGTGAAACATTAAATTGTTGCTGTTTCAGACATTTGGAAGCTTCCTTAGTTAATTTGTGGAGAAAGGCATACTTAGGTATAAATCTTCCCACAGTATCATGCCCCAGAGTGTCTTTTATCTGCATCTAAATAGCGCCAACCAGCTCTTAACAAAACCTGTACCTTTGCTGTGTAGGCTGTGCATAGACACAACACAAAATCCCTCGTACTAATTTTTTTTCCCTGGGAACCGAGGCTTGGGGATACCCACTTTTAAGATCGTAGTAGCTGAATGAAATATGGAACTGAAATTTTTAGGGGAGTGGGGTTGTTCTTGTGTTTTGCGGTTGGTTTTGTGGTGGGTTTATTTTACTCTCCTTTTCCCAGCCCCCATTTCAAAAGGGGAAATGCTTATGAAGACTATGTATGCCTGGCTGCTCACTGTGTAACGAAAGGCTGGTCTACAGGCTTTTATGTGCCAGACTTAAACAGTATAAACTGGTTCACGTTCACTGTGAGTAACTGCAAGAGACGAGGAAGCGGATTTTGGCAGTACAACATTTTGGTAATTGGGAGCTTCCCTGAGGTTTTATTACAAATGAATCCTGTGAAGAAGAGAGAAGCAGGTCCCAGGCATAGAGTTATGAATGAAGGATTGAATGAATTTCAGTCTGCTGGTAGAGAAAAGTCGTCTTTTTGCTTATGCTTTTGTTTTGAAAGGGGAGGAGGAGAAATTGAAACATTCAGAATGGAAAATGGGTTTGTGGTAACTCAGCCTGTGACTCAATTAAGGAAATATGTCACTTTCCTGTTCTGTCTGTTGCCACTGGAAATACTGTACGTGATGGGAATAAGCTGTTTCAGGAACTTTAAAAACAGATACCTGTAGAAATACTGAAACTAAGTTTTCAGGGAAAACGTTGTTCTACATCTTGGTTTCCTTTTCATCCTAAACCAGCGATCAGTTCTGTGGTTCAGCGTTACAGATTGTACTATGAATAGCTTCAGCGAGCTGAAATGCCCCTTGTGTCTGAGGGGAAGGATGCCTTTGAATTCAAATAATATTGTGGTCTGCTGAATAGCTGAGCACTGAAGGACAGTCAGAAAGTGACAAAGGCAAGTTCCTCTGAATAATATGGCTGTCTTCCCAGTTTCCTCTTAAAAAAACAATAATGTGTTTTGAAGAGTCAGCAGAGACATGGCTTAGTAACACAGCCTGGCTGTTGTCGTGCTGGTGATAGGCGTCCCTTCTTGAGTTCTCGCCGCTGTCACGCGTGCCCCTACAAGGGCGGTGTGTACCCCCACGAGCTGCTGTCGCGTCCGCACTCCCCTGCATGGCGGTGAGTTTAAAACCTTCAGCTGTTGAGATCTTGGCACTGCTCTAACCAGATGTTTCTAGCCCTTTCCAAGCTCGCAGCAGATAACGTGGCAGGCTATATAAAATCACCATCTTGCAGCCCACCCTCTAAACAAGTAATTCAATACCAAGTTTCCTCAGCAATTTAAAACTTCTCGTTAAGAAAAGGAGCCCTGGACTTGCTGCCAAAATGTCTGTTAAAAATGACCTTGAGGAATGGCCCACAGTGAGGGAGAGGTGCAACTTTTTTCTCCTGCTGTCAAGAGGGAATGTGTATGGAATAGTTGCTTAGGAAAGTCTTTCTGAGAAATAAAATCACTGATGATCCTAATTCTATTGAGATGATAGTCAAGATGCCACTATTTTATATTATCATTCACAGCCCATAAATGAAAATAAATAAAATCCTGAGAACTTAAACACTGTCAGATAGTTACTGTTTTGAAAGCCAGCACTTGTCAACAATTACTGTACGGTGTTATCTGAGAAGCAGTCACCCATATATTTAGAAACTGTGGCAGCTGTTTGCAAATCTGGTAATCATTTTTAATCACTACCGGTTTACAGACTAGAGTTTTGTTACACCTAATATAAAAGTATGATTTTTTCCTTTCCTACATCATCTGAGACTCACTTGAGTTCTCTTGTCGTGGTTTAACCCCGGCCAGCAACTAAGCCCTGCGCAGCCGTTCGCTCACTCCCCCTGGGTGGGATGGGGGTGGGATGGGGGAGAGAATCGGAAGGGGAAAAGTGAGAAAACTCATGGGTTGAGATAAAGGCAGTTTAACAGGTAAAGCAAAAGCCACGCACGCAAGCAAAGCAAAACAAGGAATTCATTCACTCCTTCCCATCGGCAGGCAGGTGTTCAGCCATCTCCAGGAAAGCAGGGCTCCATCACGCGTAACGGTTACTTGGGAAGACAAAACGCCATCACCCCGAACATCCCCCCCTTCCTCCTTCTTCCCCCAGCTTTATATGCAGAGCATGACATCATTATGATATGGAATATCCCTTTGGTCCGTTGGGGGCAGCTGTCCCAGCTGTGTCCCCTCCCAGCTTCTTGTGCACCCCCAGCCTCCTCGCTGATGGGGTGGGGTGAGGAGCAGAAAAGGCCTTGACTCTGTGTAAGCACTGCTCAGCAGTAACTAAAACATCCCTGTGTCATCAACACTGTTTCCAGCACAAATCCAAAACACAGCCCCATACTAGCTACTATGAAGAAAATTAACTCTACCCCAGCCAAAACCAGCATGCTCCCTAACTTTTTCTCTCCCCAAGCCTTGCTACAAAAGAAGAAATTAAGAACTAGACAATAAATGCATTTCCTCCTGCCCTAAACCTTTTGCAAAAGGAGTAAATTTTGAAGTCTCAGAAATGTAAAGGAGGTTGCTTGTAGTTTCTTTGTATTAGGGTTTGTACACAAACATACTAGGGCCTCACTGTAGCAGTCACTAAATAAAAAATACCATGTCCTGCCCCTGTTCTCAGACTGCGCTCTAGCTAGGCTTTCCTATCCAAGAAGTCAAGTCTGCTGCAGGTCAGGATCCAGGAGCTAGAGCTACTTACTGCAGCGATAAGGAATAGAACCCCAAATGAGTCTCCAGAAGTCAGTGAACACTGCTGGAAAAATAACCCTCCTTTTCTCTTTCTCAGATAAAGACTGCGCTAATCACTATCACAGGCTGGACGGTGCAGTGACAGAGCTGAAAATCCAAAGCAGTTAATGCCCTGTTAGACCAGGAAACGCAACAAAACCAAAAACACATGTGAGGTACTCCCTGGGAAAAAAGGCAACCTTTATTGTAACCAGGTTCTATGACATTATTTGAAAGCATTAGAAAGCTACAATTGTATGATGAAGTTGTGCCTAAGACCCACTCCAGGACAAAGTACAGTGTAAGACTACAATCTGGTTAAGATTACTTTTGGTTTGGCTCATCTCAAAGAACCAACATCTTTTTGATAATTTTCTTTTGCATAATTTAAAGTACAGCATTCAAATTAGTCTTCAATGTGTATAGGAGCAACAGGGTTAAAAATTGGTCTCTCCTTCTTCGATTGTATCTTACCATAATTGACTTCAAAATCTTTCTTAGTACCATTCAAGCTTTCTAGAGTTCCACTCTTTATATCATAACCCAAAGCACAGAGTTTTTGAATACGGTACTGAACAATTTGCGTTGTCAACTCCAGCACCATTGGTGTCTCTCTAATCTGCGCTACAGAAATTCCTTCCTTCAGTAGTCCTTCAAGTCTTTCTTCCAAAACTGGAACGGAGTAGTAGAGAAGGGCTGGGCATTTCAGCACTAGCTGTTTTAATTCTTGATCACTGCACTTAAAGACATTTTTGGAAAAAAGCATACTCTTCTGCATAGTAGTAGAAGTAAGTTGAAAAATGAAACCTTTAAGTTTGGACAGCAGCAGTAGAACTTCATGGTCAGTGAAATCATTCTTCTGGAGAAATTCCAAGTTCTCCTGGATTGCGGTGGAGGTATTTAATAAAATAAATGGATTTTGGCTTAATAGCTTCAGCATCCAGATCTTCATATTTGCATCAGAACCTCCTAAACTTAAGTAATTTCTTTGTAATGTCTCTATGACGTTTTTGTTTTTCTCCACAGGATTATAAAAAATACTGGGTGCGCTTGTCAAGAACCTGGTGATTATATTATTCTTAAGTCCCAACTCTTGAAAAAACAGTATGTTTGCCTTCTGGTTCTCATGATATTCAGTAGTAAAAAAAGACTCTGGAAATTGCTCTATTAATTTAATCAACTGTTTTTCGTTCTGGCAGACTAATTGCCATAGAGCTCTTTGAGAGTTTATCTCTGCAGGGGTATGGAGAATTGCCTCTGGGCAGCGTTCTAAAATGTTGGCTACAGCAGCCTCCTCTGCTCCCATTTCTTTTAAGATACCAGCAATTTCTTTAACATAGGCCACATCCTGGAGAAGGACCCATTCCTTTAGTCTGCGTATTTTCTTAATGTCAACTGACAATCTGTAGAGACTCTCAATGGTTTTTTTATTTTCCTCTCTTGATTTTGTATCAGTTGTGTAAGTGGAATGTATTGGGAAGCTTCTGTTCACTACTTCAGTCCGTGCTGATGAAAAATTCAATCCCGGGTTACAGTACTGAGATCTTCCCAACAGAAGAGTAAATGTATCTTTTGCACTGTGAGCGACTCTTCTCAACATCGTGGAATTCAGCCCTATGGAGAGAGAACAACTATAAGAAAACACATTTAAGGCACAAGTTAATGCTCAGAGACATTGATATTTAGACTGAGCTGGCGTAAGAAATTACTCTCAACAGTGTTGTTTGTTATTAGCACAAAATTCAGCTTTCACACGAAAGCGGGGGGAGAAAAATACTTCTGAAAGGTTAATGTTCTGATGGATGCCTCACTGGAACAGTAACATGCGGATGCAAGAGACCTGATGTGGGGGCAGCGCTGTGTCCGTATAAATGCTTGCAGTCATACAAGAACGAAATTGTCAGCCATTTCCTGCAGTTAACATTGTTATTACATTACAGCTCACTCACACTATACTAGAAAAATGTTTCATGCAATTTGACAGTAATTCTACTAAATGAATTTAAAAAAAAAAGGCAGCTTAAATATCTTTCTTAACCCTTCTGAATGTATTTGCTTAACTTCTCAAGCATTGTTTGGAGCGTGACTTGTTCCTTCATGTGTCAGAGACCCCCCCCGATACTCCTTCGGCAGCAGTTCGTAGCCTAACTGCATTTTGAAATCATTCTTGTTATAATTAAGGAAAAAATCACTGAAATCTTTATGTATGTGTTTTTCACTAGCTGAGTCTGTTAATTGGGTTCTGAATAAGCACACTGGTATTTTGGGGGAGGAAGCAAGTACACGGTAACATCTTCAGGCCTTCACTTGCCTCTTCCAGTACCTACTTTGCTACAGCTGCCCTTTGCACCGATGCCTTATTTCTGTCTCCAGGTCACTCCTGTCGTTGCCAGCCACCCCCAGCAGGCAGAGTCCTCGCGCACCCCGTGGAACAGGCGCGTGGCTGTGCTGGGGTCCACACAGCAACCACAGGGTAGCTGTGGGTAACCCCGCACCCCACCTTTGCTCAAACTGACTGCCAGGTATCGCCAATAGCACGTGCGCTGCTGCCTGCTCTGCAATGGCCAAAGGAGCTGCAACAGTCAAAGACATCATCAAGTCTATCTTTAACTTCCTGGGAGGTGTTTTCGTAACAACCTTTTGGAAGCGCAGAGTGTGAAAGGGAGAATTGCTCGTCTGTGAAATACTCACGCAAATTGCTGCTGCTGCTGGTAACGTGCCTAAAACTCCTCAAATTGAACATGAGAAAAAAAATACAATTTGTGCATTTGACAATTCTATTTATACAGTTGCTTTCACCTCTCCCAAAGTATAGCATGCTTCAAAAAGTACCTACGTGAGCATTAAGTTAAATTATTTTGGGTTTTTTTTTTTAGGAGAGAAGACTGTTACGATCATGCAGTCTAATTTACACAACAGACCAACAAGCCTATTGCAGGAACAGCTATACGGGACCCCTAGTATCTTCTTTATAGCCCATCTTTTAAGAAAATACGTGGTTTGTTTAGAGAACTTAAGTGATAGAGCCTCTATCTACTTGCCAGGTAAGGTTGTTAAATATTTTCCAGTGGTAAAATACTTTATCTCAAGAAAGCGTACCTTTGCTTTTAAGTTGATGTTTTTCAGCTTCTAAAAGCTGGACTCTTGTTATATTACTACATCATAAACTAACAGAATAAGACATAATTTCCTATATGCAAGCTTATGTTATTAACAGAAGCTGTTTATTGGTAACTTGTTTCTTAGTATTATTTCAAATCTCTGAGGCAAAATCTGATTGCCTAACGAAGCTGCTTGTGTCATAACCCCAAGGCTAATGATTTTATCTTCATTAACTTTGTGACTTGAGAAGTGCTGTCCAGCAAGCTCCACCACAGAACATGCGATTTTTCCCCATAGCCCTGAAAGCACTGTAAGTGTAGATAAGTCGCAGACTTTTTGTATGCTGACCTTTTCATGTCCTGAAAAAGTGACTGTTTCATGGGGACTGCAAACTAAAGCCTCTCCTCCATAGGGAGCGACACAACCGCCTGTGTCTGAGTACTCTGAGCAGTTCTATTGAATTTAGTGGGTCCAGTCAGAGTAAGTAAATCTCTGAAGGATCAGGGCTTTCTTCATTAATGCTTCAGCTCAGCTGGAAACTGCCAGCAAAATAAAGTATTGTTAAAATTGTTTGGGATGTCAGATGATACTTCCACATACAAACTGGAAAAATAACTAACCATGGCTTTTACTTCAATATGTAATCCAGCTGTTAAACAAAACTGCCTTGTGAGTAATGCAGTCACTTAAAATACAGTTGTTTTATCTATTATAGAGCTTTTAAAAAATTCTGATATAGTAAATTCTGCTCTTCCAAGATCTGACATGGAAATGATTATGTTCACTTAAAAGAAGCTTTATGTTGTCTGAAAATGTTTGACATCGTAGTCATTTTTTTTCCTGTTGTTAGTGAGGATCATCCATACAGAAACACAGAATACTATAAAAGCAAGGAAAACTTTATTTGCTAAACCGTATTTGACTGGGGTACTCAGGAGCTCTTGTAAAGCACTAAGCAAACTACAACATACAAAATAAGATGAATGGATTTTAATGCCATGGTGTTTTATAGAAACTCAGAAGATGATTGGGAGTTATGATTTGGTGTATTTCAGAGTATCACGTTTGCAGGGAATGTAACCTGTTGCAAGAGTTCAGAGTTCTCTTAAAGCTCATGATGGACTATTGTTCTAATATGCAGGACCCTGCTGCATCTTTTTACATACTTGTATTGCTATGGGGATAGTAAATCAATTGAGAGATTAAGAAAAAAACCAGCCAGCTTAGATGAGACGTTTGCTCTCACTGCCAGCAGCACCCTCTTATCGTCAGGTGTCATAACAGCAATAAGGAAGTGAGCTAACGTCTACGTGGAAGTTATCTGTGACCCTGCTTGCTAGCACACTTGCAGTGACCTATATCTACAGAGTAAACGGGTGTTATAAGTTTCATTATTTAATGAGACTCCTATGTATATCTTCTATAGGACATGGATACTAGGATCAACTGGCTGATTCATCCCTTTCATTCAGAAATTTTGAATTTCTGAATGTGTATTTTGAGACTCAAATCTCGCGTTTTGAAAAATTAGCAAACCAACCTCTTGCCTATGTTTTATTTTTCACAAAGTCTTTCACTGAAGAGAGCAACAGTACGACTACTACTGTATGCTGTCACTACCATTCCTATTACAGCAAACTGTAGCCAGGTCATAGTAGGCTGTAGAGGGTTAAATGAAACCATTAAATGCCTAGATTGAACTTTGAATTAACCACAAAGAGTAGGTATCTACCGAGCAGAGAGCAATCTAGATAGGTGAATAGCTTGTAAAGAAATCTGGAGCGGTAACAGGTAGCAGTTTCGTACATTAATGCATAGTAAGAGTAAGCAGTTACACTTTTGCACTTACAGACAAAAAAATGCATCTCTGCTTCTGCACTGCTAGTAGAAATGAGGTAAAGAAGGATTACAAAAATACACTAGACCAACATAAAGCTTTCTAGAAAAAAAACTATGGAAGATCCTAGGATAATCCAGGCTGGAAGGGACCTTGAGAGCTCAAAGCAGGGTCGGCTAAAGGGAAAGACCAGGCTGCTCTGTCCAGTCAGGTCTTGCAAACCTCCATGGATGGAGCCCGCCCAGCCTCTGTGGGCTGCCTGTTGTACTGCTTGACCATCCTCATGGGGAAAAGGCTTTTCCTTACATCTAGGAAACAGGTTCAAAAAAAGCTTAAGGGAGCATAGCACTATTTAAGCCGAAGGTCATCAAGTGGTGTTTTTAGTACAGAGAAAATGGAAAGCTAGCCAGCAACCACAGCCTGGTTGCCTACGCCCGGCCACCTGAATGATCCCTATCCGCCCACCCCCTATCCCCGCCTCGGGACTCCGCTTCGGGCTGGAGGGGCAGGAGGAGGATGGTTCCCCGCCGCCAGCACGGGAGCTGAGGGCGGGAGGCCCGGCAGGGCTCCCCCGACCCAGCCC